GGAAACAGGCCATTAGAGCGCTGGATGATGTGTGTGTGTGTGTGTGTGTGTGTGTGTGAGTGTGTGTGTGTGTGTGTGTGTGAGAGAGAGAGAGAGAGAGAGTGTGTGTGTGTGTGTGTGTGTGTGTGTGTGTGTGTGTATGCAGTATATGATATATGTATATATGTATAAGTTTTGAGTTGCCTTAACTTATTGGGTTTCACTGTGCTCAATTTGCTTCAATTACTCAAATGGATTAAGTTCACAGTACTAATAGGCATAGTTTTTGAACTTAAATGGGTTGTTGCAATCAATTTCCTCAAATTACCCTTAATGTTTGGTTTTTACAGTGTTCTGTAGGTCAAACATTATTATGCATCTAATTTGACTACTCTCAGGCTAAATGTATATAAAAACAACTAAAACAAGTTGAAAATAAAGTCTTGTGAACGCAGTCGGTGTTCTAGATCATCTCATTTTAGACTTTTTCCTAGAATAGAATGATTTGCGTGATTATGCTCTTACAATGGTTTTGGAAGTGGTCAAATATATTTATATTATCTATTTTCATTCATTCATTCATTCATTCATTCATTCATTCATTCATTCATTCATTCATTCATTCATTCATTCATTTTCTTTTTGGCTAGTGCCTTTAGTCATCAGGGGTGACCACAGTGGACTAAACCGCTAACTTATTCATATGTTTTAGACAATTGATATTCAATTCACCTATAGCGCATGTCTTTAGACTGTGGGGGAAATCGGAGCACCTAGAGGAAACCCACACAAACATGGGGAGAACATGCTAACTCCACACAAAAACACCAACTGACCTAGCCGAGACTCGAAGCAGGGACCTGAGTGCTGTGAGGCGAATGTGCTACCCACTGCACCACCGTGCCGCCCAGTACTATTATATCTAAGTTAAATCTGCCACTTTTCTAGAATAAATCCATATCAATAACCACAGGAAGAGCATTTAAAGGGAGATCTAACAATCGTTATATTCCTTTATTTGCATGTTACATGATTAACAGAATTCAGAATCTTCATTTCGCACCAAAATTACAATCATTTTCATTTATTTATGTTTTTCTTAATCCCACTTTCAAAAACATCAAATTCAGATGACGATTTCCATTCTCAACATCTGATGAGGACTGTACAGTGCAGAAGGGCTTCAAAAATGACTTCAGAGTAAATAAAGACGAGTTAGAAAATGTCCATTGCTTTCATGAAGATGTCGATCAAAACTACTGGAGATTCTCCAGATCCACGAAAACACAGCGTCTTCTTATCAGGTTACAGAGAGCATCGGCAATAAAACACACACTGAACATGGCCAAAATAAAGTGAACTGATCCTCACTGGAGTATTCACACACACACACACACACACACACACACACACACACACTGCAGTGAGACATTCGTCAGATACAAAACACTGCGGCCCTGTGTGGAGTTCAGGACGCTTGACTTTGGATTGGATCAAACCCAAATATTGGCGTTGCAGCTCGATTTACTTTAGACAGGAGACGCGCGACTAGCCCTTTAAATCAGACACACGCCAGACGAGCGGTTTCATCCAATCAAGAGCGCACATGCTGAAAGCTTATTGGCTGAGAGAGCTGTCAATCAAAGGGCTGTGGGTGGAGATCTCACTGCTGGATTATTCCAATACTCAAATGTAAACGTGAACAGAAACGCTGCTTTACGAGCAGGAGAAACCACGAATAAACCAGTGTGTGCGCGCGCGTCTACATACCAAAACAAAATAAACCAGTGTGTGTGCGCGTCTACATACCAAAACAAAATAAACCAGTGTGTGTGTGCGCGTCTACATACCAAAACAAAACAAACCAGTGTGTGTGCGCGCGTCTTCATACCAAAACAAAATAAACCAGTGTGTGTGCGCGCGTCTACATACCAAAACAAAATAAACCAGTGTGTGTGCGCGCGTCTACATACCAAAACAAACTAAATAGATGCTTTATCAATTCAACAACAAAGAAAAGTAGTGTGTGCGCGCGGGTCATAAATCCTCTCTAAAATGGCTTGATTAAATATATAACAGGAGCTCTAATCGTTTGGCAGTCGGAGTGTTCAGCTCATCTCTGTACAACTACTATTATAATAACTAATGAACAGATCCATCTCTATAAATAAGAATAGTAGTGCAGCCGCTTCAAAGGTAAATCTAGGTTTAGAATACTTAAATATTTGTAGTAAAAATCTTAGTTTAGTATCTAATTTGAGTTTGTTACAGGAAGCATCAAAGCGCCACCGCAGAACTACAGACGGAGAAACCTGAACGAAGATGCGCTTCGTTTCCGCGTGAAGACATTCAAAAGAATATTTACAGACAGACGGAGGTGAGCGGCGGATGAAGACGAGCATTCATTGGTGTCGAACATTTCATACGGCGGACGGAGAAACACGCGGTGGGAGGAGGGTTATCAGCGGTCGTGCTGGAGCGACACGACACACGCTAAACATCGTTAAACACTTTCAGTGGAGAAACTTCATTAATAATACAAGTTTTCCAGAAACCCTGAAGAACTCTGCAGAGCCGCCTGTGGGAGGAGTTACTGCTGTGTTAGTGGGCGGAGTTACAACTGGAAGAATATGATGTTGTGGAGGGAGGGGTTAGGGGCGGATTCACACCAAACGCAGAATTAAGTATTCGTTACATACAAAGTCAATGCAGAAGCACAAATAGAGACGAATTATTGCTGTGAATGATGCCGAATGCGCGACACGTTTGACGAAAATATGCGAAATTCGCCTTAATTACGTCTTTACACAATTTTAAAAAATTGAACAAGAGCAGGAAATCTGCATGAGCGGGAAACACCGCGACTACAGTTGACTACAGCGGAGCTGTGTGTTTGGTGTGAAGCCAGACATATGGGAGGGGCCAGGGGTGTGGCCACAGACACACAAATAGGAGGGGTTTAG